GATATAACTCAACAGTACCACACAAATGTGTCAACGAGTGAATTTTTAAATCTTAACAGATATAACTCAACAGTACCACACAAATGTGTCAACGAGTGAATTTTTAAATCTTAACAGACATAACTCAACAGTACCACACAAATGTGTCAACGAGTGAATTTTTAAATCTTAACAGATATAACTCAACAGTACCACACAAATGTGTCAACGAGTGGCCTTTTAAATCTCAACCGATGACACTGAACAGTATCATATAAATGTATGCACTCTCCCTTAAATTTTACCTGACAGTAACTCAGCGACACTACATGAATGTATACAATGTGCTGCAATTTCTTTGCCAAAGTAAATGAACAACACCCTACGATTGTCCACAACCCTAAAGTCACTTACCCGAAGATCGTCATGTGATTTATGCAACTTTGTTTTAAATCCAAACTAATGAAACTAAAGAATACTATATAAGTGCAATGTGCTTTTAAATCTTGACCGAAGTAACTGTGATTGATTCAGCACTTTCCGCTCTACATATAGTTTCGTAGAATTCACAGAAAGTTTCGTCTTTCAACGACAAATAACGATCAAAGATAATCAAACAGCTTATTAAAAAAACAATTAATATATAATAAACTTCAAAAAGTTTATGCATTGTTTGGCATGCAACAAATTGGTTATATCCTTAAAATATTTTACTTTTTTCTCAAGTTTCAGAAATGAACATAAACACAAATATATTAAACTATATTATTGTCCAACTCCGATGATTGATTGTATCGAGTAATAATGTCAAACAGAGATTCTGAGGGTTATACTTAGAAGTTACACATTGAGTAGAAGAACACGAACATAAGAAAGCTTGTAGAAAACAAATATCTTATTTTTTAACGCAAACATGAACCAGAAGTCTATTAATTAAAGTATTAACATGGGAAAATGGTTTGACTAAGGTTTCAAAGGTTTACTGTAGACGTTTAAGAAGGGAACTGAATTAATTCCTGTTGTAATCACGATTACTTCGAAAAAGTTGTTAGCAGTAAAGAAAGTACTATTGCTATCTGGTGTTTAATAGTGCTGCTAAAAATAATTCTAAGGAAAGTCAGATGGATACCAGATAAGATAAGGTAAAGTTCATAGTCCTGAAAATAAAACTAATATGATATGAGACAATTTCTTATTTATCTGTGGGACAAGGTCTGTGTTAGTCGGACTGCATCCAATAGAGAAAAATCGACGGTAGATGGAGCTTCACTCGAATACTGCTGTTGACCTACACGTTTCGACTTTCTCCACGTAATGTAAAATATCGCAGTCCCTATAGCAGCGAAGATATAGCCAACCATCAGTGCAATTATTCCATTTATTAACATAGGATTTCCATCTCTGTCTGAAGGCATGTTCACTGCAAAATTCAACGCCAAACATATGTATCCCACTGTCACCCATATTACAGCGAAGATGAAGAAGAAGAGAATGAACTTCGATGTGATTATACAACTAACCCTCTTGCCGTTTTTATACAAGATTCCATATCCAGCTGATGAATAAACAACAACAGTTTTTTCATCTATTCTTATCAGCACCTGAAAAAAAAATCACTGAAAGTTAAAAAAATATTATATTTCTATATTCATCCAACAGAAACACAAGCAGTATGGACAGAGAAAGATTCTTCAGGAGAACAAGAAAGAAGAATAGTCAACTATTCGAAAGCGCTCGAGTTTTGGGTCTTATTTTAAGTCCCTGAGTTTTACTTCACTAACATGTGACTCTAGCGAGAATTTCCTCACCACAAAACTGTCTCTAGTGTTGTTACTCATCATTGCCAAAAAGATACCATTGTCATCTTTTCTGCTTCATACGTTCTGTAGTAGTAATGAAGTAGCATGTAACTTCATTAGTATGTCATTCATCGGTATATACAAAATATAATATAAAATATATATATATATATGGGTATATACGAATTCTGTGACAAAGCTTTATTTGGGTAACACATTACCCCAATTTTGTACAACTCAATGGAATAACTATTGTATCTTTCACACCACGATCTGCTTTACAACTAATATGAATTCTGTGTCCTAGCTTTATTTAAATAACTCCAGTGTTTTTAGGTCAAACTGGATATTTTTGGTACTGTTGGCTGTTTCACAACAATTAAAGCCTCTGTTACTGAGTTTTGTTTGAATAATGACTGCGGTGTTTTTAAAGCAGGCTGGATATTTTCGATACTCTTGACTGCTGTATAACTACTTGTTGTTTTGTTCACATTAAAATCTATGACAGAGAATTTAAAGCAGAATACGACTAGATTAATGCGTTAGTATCAGAGCGAACAACATATTTTCTTAATGCTGTTGTTTACATCACAATATGACTAGGAATTATATAGGATATATGAGACTTCAGTTTTTGTTGCTTACTGTTACTTGAAAGTGGTAACACAATCACAAATTATACTTAATGACGTGACACGTAGCAATTAAAATCACATGAATTTCCCCATCTTCAAATTTCTCATTAATCTTGTCCGCGTCATTATGTTTCAGTACTACCTTAGGGGTTCTTTCTTCGAGTTAATGAAAAATTTCAGACATTTTCTTACATTTGTAATGACTCAATTTTTACCGACTTTTGGATATGTGTATATGAAAGCATTATTTGAGATCAATAAAACTTGTAGCATGGCTCTTCATGTTTTAATTATTAAACACAATCCAGATTCTAATTATGCTCGCTTTCTTTTGAAAAAATTGTTTATAAATTCAGACGAAAATGTATAAAATTTTTTAAAAGTTATTTTCAAAAGTTTCTACCACAGTACAACAAAACGTATTTGGTATTTCATGACATGAACGGCTCCGATGAGTCAGCGGACTTACAACACTAAAATCCAGAGTTCGATTCCTCGTGGTGAACAAAGCACAGATAGCCCATTGGTTAGCTTCATCCAATGTATTTTTTTTATTATGGTATATAAAGTGTTATTACGACAAAGCGTTATCAGCAATTTGTTGGTTTTACGACATTACATTGGAATAAAACTGATCAAATTTATATGAAAAATTTCTTTTTTTTTCTTTTAGAATTTTCGCACAAGGATACATAACGTTCTTAATTTTGAACAGAATATTTTTGTAAACAAATAAATGAATAGTTTACGGAGTTGATGGTATAGCTATTCCGTGGCTTTTAAATAATTCTTTTCTAGAGGTTGGGGGACAATGTACGTCCTTTCTACTGAAACATCGGTCTTTATGGTGGATAATGCACGTTATATAGGGATTGGAGGAGAGTGCTTCACTCATTTGTGATCTGTGTTAATGTATTCAAAGCGATTTGGTGTGATACTCTTCTAGGTTAACACCAATATAGAAAACAGCTGCTCGGAAATTGATGACATACCTTTCTGTTTCTTCGTCGTGACATATTTCAACAAAAGGAAATTTCAAAACCTGACTTCTCTGTAATGTGTTTTGACTTTCTCAACGCTTTGAAAGGAACCTGAAATTTAACATAGAAGCAGTTGTCATATAATTTTGAAACCATAATATTTTTTTTTTCTACGGAACTATACATACACACACAGTTCACCGAATTAGCAGAACATATTATATTTATATAAATCAATAATGATGTATGATGTAATAATTCTGAACATGATAAAAATATAACTCATGACAGTCACATTGATACTTCATAAAAAAGATACGACAGTAGCATTAACACTTCTGAAAAAAAATGGTAATGACATTAATACTTTGGAGAAAGGTAAGAGCAAGAGAAAGGTGTGGTAATGACATAACAATTTTTCAGGAAAATATGACAGTTACATTAACATATTTAGAAGAAAAATAAGACAATGACATTTAATACACTTTAGAAAAAAATGGTAGTAGTATTCAAGAACTTTAGGAAAAGACAAGACGATGACATTAATACAGTAGTTCTGATAAAGTCGTTCTGATAGGAAAACACAAGACGATGACATTAATAGACTAGTTCTGACAAAGTCGTTCTGATAGGAAAAGACAAGACAATGACATTAATACACTAGTTTTGATAAAGTCGTTCTGATGGAAAAAGACAAGACGATGACATTAATAAACTAGTACTGATAAGATCGTTCTGATAGAAAAAGACAAGACGATGACTTTAATACACTAGTTCTGATAGGAAAAGGCAAGACGACGACATTAATACACTAGTTCTGATAGGAAAAGACAAGACGATGACATTACTACACTAGTTCTGATAGGAAAAGACAAGACGATGACATTAATACACTAGTTCTGATAGGAAAAGACAAGACGATGACATTAATACACTAGTTCTGATAGGAAAAGACAAGACGATGACATTAATACACTAGTTCTGATAGGAAAACACAAGACGATGACATTAATACACTAGTTCTGATAGGAAAAGACAAGACGATAAC